TGCTGATTAACAAGCACTAATGCACCGTTTCTGTGAAAGGGAGAAATTCAGCAAGCAACGTAGGGAGTGTTTGTGTGTGTGTGTACGTGTGTGTGTGTGTGTACCCACTTTTTCGGTCTTGCGTAGGGAAGAGAGGCATCGAATCCAGGCCCTTCTATCCGGCGTCATTGGATAGAAGTAGAGATGGGAGCCCGCTAATCAACCAATGAGCTGGAAGGGACCTGGGAGGTCTTCTAGTCTAACCCCCTGGCTCAAGCGGGAGACCCCGTATCAATCAATCGGTCAGAACAGAGTTGCAAGGGACCTTGGAGGTCTTCTAGACCAACCCCTGATCCATAAGAAAGTTGGAAGGGACATTGGAGGTCTTCTAGTCCAGAGCGGGCAGCCCCGTGGCCCAAAAGAACGGGGAGAATTGGCCGCCGCCGTTGTTCCTCTCTGTTGTATCTCTAAAGTAGCGTTTCTCAAACGGTTGGAAAGGAGACAATATTCTAAAAATAATAATAATTTGTATTCTTGGAAACCAGCAAAGAACATCCAGCTTGAATGTTGTTTTTCCGAGCCTCTTTGAATCAAGTTAATTCCCTGAAATCTGTCGTCAGCAGGACCATCTCGGCGGGTCGATGGGTCCACAGGTTCTGTTTGCACGTAAACTGGAGCAAATAATCTGGATTTTTATTTACTTTTTTTGGGGGTAGTGGTGGTGTTAAGTCCACATTCGTCCCGGCTTGCGCATAACTCTGTGGAACAATTTGTTCAAGGTGGCAACAGAAATTGTAAAATTCCTGGAACTGGGAGGAGGGGGGGAATATAACCCATCATGCACTTCCACTGAAACATATATGGGATTCCCTTACCTAGTTTGGAATTTCACACCCGAACAACTTAAGATGAACTCCATGTCCTTCCTATACTATGGTTAATGCAATGATACATGTAAAATAAAACAAATCTATCTATAAATCATTGGATTAAAGCCCATGGATTAAAGATCTGGTTGCATTCACCGCTGATGAGCAGATCACCCGTTAGACATTTGCATAAATAAGTATAATAAAACACGGGATTGATTTATCCAGAATATCGGGCATTCAAATAAGCGATAAGACCTACAAGTGTATTTAAAAAACATACGTTGACTCAAAAGAATATTTGCATTAGATAAGTGAATAGTGCAAAATGCAATGAGGAACGTATTCCAACCAGGTGCCGCTTCCAGCAGCGGCGCCTCATGAGCAGATGAACAGAACCGGAAGGGACCCTGGAGGTCACCTAGTCCAGCCCCCCTTCCCTGCCCAAGCAGGAGACCTACACCGTTTCTGACAGACGGGCGTCCAGTCTCTTCTTGAAAGCTTCCAAGGGATGAAGATCCCAAACCACTTCCAAAGGCTTGCGTTGATGCGAATCCTACTCGTTTCTGGCCCCTTTGCAAACTACACCAGGGCGAGAGAGGCCCAGCCGCCTTTTCGAGCCCTGCTAAAAACTGAGATTGCGCCGCGGCTCGAATAAGCTGGCTTGTGGTGTGTTGTGTCTCCATCAGTATGCACGGGGGCGCTCACCAAGGAAGCCTTCAATGGCTTTGGACCCATTGAAAACAGCAGCAAGCCAAGCGGGAGATATTGTTAAAGGCTGACAGCGCATCGAAGCAACAGGGTGTGTTTGTGCATCCATGTGTGTGCGTCTTTGTGTGTCAAAAGCCCCACTGTGCGGCATCCAAAACGGCCAAGAGTTTGGCAGGCAGTTTGAACATTTTCTGGGCAACCGGAGAGAAGAAAAGCCGAGGAAATACAGATACGGATTAAACACAGTTGGAAGGGACCTTGTAGGTCATCTAGTCCAACCCTCCCCACCCAAGCAAGAGACCCTACACCATTTCTCAGCTCGGCCAAGCTGCAAGCAAGACGGGTTCCTAACTTCCTAGCAGAACAATTCGCCAGTGGAACAGCTTCCCACCAGAAATTGTGAATGTTCCATCCCTGGAAGGCTTTCAAGAAGAAATCGGACAATCCTTTGTCTCAAATGAGTTTAGGGTTTCCTCCTGCCTGGACTGGACTAGAAGACCTCCAAGGTCCCTTCCAATTCTGTTATTCTATACCATTTCAGACAAATGGTTCTCCAGCCTTTTTCTTAAAAACCTCCCGTTTTGGAGCACCCACAATTTCTAGTGGCAAGCAGTTCCACCGGTGAATTTGTTCTCCCTCTTAATTCCAGGAGTTGCTTTTCTCCTTGATGTGTTTCCATCCATTTTTGGGCTTCAGGGGGTTTGGAAAAATAAATTGACCCCCCCCTTCTTTGGGGCAGCCCCTCAAATGCTGGAAGGATGCTATCATGTACCCCCTAATTCTTCATTTTTTTAAAAAAAAAAAGACTAGCCAAACCCAAATCCTGCAACCGTTCTTCGTGTGTTTGGATCTCCTCTTAGTTGCCCTTCTGTGCAATTTTCCCCAAGTCTCAACCTCTTTTGTTGTAACATTGGGGGCGGCCGGGGGGTCGCAACATTCCCGGCGTGGCCTTACTAAGGCTTTACAAAGCGTTATTGCTACCACTGCACGTTGTTTTGGGTCCGTTGGCGATGCGCAGTTTGCGGAGTCCCTTGATTTGTGGCACCTATTCATTCCACGCTTTTGTTCTGAGGGACGCAGCCCAAACCCGTGAACAGTTTTGGGGGGAAATGTGCCTGGAATGAAAAGAGACGGGTTGTTTCTTTGGCGATCTGCAATTCTCTGCATCCTGTCGAATTAAAGGGAACTAATTATGCCTATAAAAGCAAAGGTTACCCACCTAAATTTTAACGCTGGGAAGGTTCTACATTGGCTGATGCTTTCCAGGTTTGTCCAAATAGGGGAAACGTTGTGAATTCAGGAGCCGGTGAGGGGGGAAAAAAATAAGAATTGATTCTCTCTATTTTGGTTTTCTGCCTGCTTGCTAAGGAAAAAAAAACCCTTTTCAGGAATCAAATAAATATCCCTTCCATATTTTCAAGGTCTTTTTCTGGAAGGTCGAATTACTCCCTGAACATTTTAGCCTGGGATATTCTTGGCTGTTTTGGGTCCAGCCAAACCTAAGTGGCTTAGAATACAACAGAATAACAGAGTTGGAAGGGACCCTGGAGGTCTTCTAGTCCAACCCCCTGGTTGATAAGGGAGTCAGAAGGGACCCTGGAGGTCTTCTAGTCCAACCCCCTGGTTGATAAGGGAGTCAGAAGGGACCCTGGAAGTCTTCTAGTCCAGCCCACTGCTCGATAAGAGAGTCAGAAGGGACCTTGGAGGTCTTCTAGTCCAGCCCTCTGCTCAAATAACTCACTTAACCAATGTCTCATTTAATAGCAGGAATGTGGGGCTCCACTCTGCTCATACGTCAACCAGCCTGTTGTTTGTGCAGTATTATTATTATTATTATTATTATTATTATTATTATTATTATTATTATTAATTTGGTTATTAATTATAAAGCAATAAAAATAAATTAAAAACAGAACACTCCCCCTCATGATTAGAAAATTTTAATTTGTGCAACGAGTGCATCATCCAAATACCCCTTTTAAGTTACTTATATAAGAATGAGTCAGAGAGCCGATTTGCCAAACTCCTCTGCTGTGTCAACATATTGATTTGAATCATTCAATACACTTAACTTGGTCGCAAAATTAACTCCAAACTAGCAAAGCAGGAGCTCGTTTTAAGGTTTAAAGTTTTCCAATTGATAAAGCAGGTTTTTTTCCTCAAAAAGTTGTTTTATTTTTAATCTTTTACATCACTTTTAGTGAACAGTGTTTCCAGGTTTGTACATTTCCATACAAATATGACTATAATTACATATCTATTTTGCATATTCAATTTCTTATCATAACATTACATTTTCCATTTTCTATCAATTTTTAAAAATATTCTTATATTTTGACTTTTATTTTATCCAATTCTTATTCATATAACTTATTCTATTTTTCTTTAGTTGTCCTCTTATCTTCTTTATATAATATCTTAAAATTCTTTATTTCTTGTTCCGTATTTACTATATTCTTATGCTTTTTCCTATCATATTTGCCATTTCATCACATAGCAGCTTCATAAAGACAATCCTCCACGTACAACCACGACGGAGCTCAACGTTTCTGTGGCGGAGCGAACGTGAATATTTTTTTGCCTCATTTGACATTTCCGGCCACCGTTGTTAAGTGAATCACTGCAGTTGAGCAGTCAGCAACCCGGTCGTTAAATGAATCTGGTCAGAAGGTCGCAAAAGGCCAGGACCATCATAACTCCAAGTCAGTTGCCAAGCACGTGACCGTGGGGAGGGCTGCAACGGTCGTAAGTGTGAAAAACGGTCCTGAGTCCCATTTTTCAGCACTGTCGTAACGTCAACGGTCACTAAATGAACTGTCGTAAGTGGGGGATTATCTGTAGCAGGGTGGGAAACCTTAGATGTTTGACTGAATCTGGAGTCTTGAGACGAAGCGGCTCTCAAAAGGTCTGGGGATCCCTTCCAGCTCTATTCTAATCAATAAAATCAATCGATCGATTGAAATGATCTAGGTCTAGCGTTTCTTGCTTGAGCGGAGCATTGGATCAGGAGAGAAGTCAATGGGGAAGCCGGATTCGCTTAACTACGGGGCTACTCATTTAAGGACCGCGGCAAACCACGTCGTCAAAACGGGTCCCCCCCTAAAAAAAAGCTGGCTTCCCAAATCTCTCCCTCTCAGCCACAGAAATTGGGAGTGGGGGGCAGGTTAAACCAGGTTTCCAAACGGGGTGAAGAACCCAGAATGTCTCCGGGGTTGGGCTAGATGACCTCTGAGGTTCCTTTCCAGCCCCCCCCCTCGGGGGGGGGATGGCTGTGCTTTGTTTCAAAAGGGCTCGCTTCCCAAACAACCCCACCTCGGTCCGGCATCGCCGCTTTAAGAGGGCGGGGCCGGGCGGCTTTCTTCCCACCCCCCCACCCGTCGCCACGCCTCCCACGAGACCCCGCCCAACGCTATAAAAGCGCCCTCTCGCTCGGGCCGGGGCTCAGAGTGACGTCGCCGCTGACCCGGCCGGTCCGTTTTGGCGAGGGGAGCTCGCGGGCGCCCTCTAGGTGAGTCAAGGGGAAGGGGCGGGCGCAGAGCGGGGGAGGGCATTGCGGAGGAGCGGGGGGGGGGGGGGGGGCTCCCCCCCTTTGGGGGGGTTCCCCGCCCCGGGGGATGGGGGGGGGGGGGGCAAGGGGGGGGGGGGAGGGAAGGCAGGGTTGCCCCCCCCCCCCCCCCCCCCCCGGGGGGGGGGGGGGGGGGGGCTGCTGGCCTTCTTCTCGCCCTCCCCCCTTTTGCACGAGACACCCCGGGTGCCTCTTGCGCGGCTCTTCCTTCCCTTGCCCCGAATCCACCAAGGCTGGTGAATCAAGGCTTAGTCATCGTCCTTTGCAAGCGCGGCGGGGAGGCGACGGCGGTGCACCTGCAGCACAGGTAGGGCGAGCCCGGTTGCTAGGAGACCGCCCGGGGGCAGGAAGGAAGGTGAGCTCATTGCAGCTCAGGCGGCCTCTCTCCTCTCTCTCTCTCTCTCTCGCCCCCCCCTCCCCCCCCCCCCCCGCGCCCTCCCCCCACACACACAACCAGGTCTGACCAGGAAGACCCTGGCCGCGTGGAGGAGAATCTCCTGGTTGCCCCCCATCCCACTTCCTGGCCTCCAAAGGGGCTGGGGGGCGTGAGGGGGCTCGGCTTGCGGATCTCAGGGGTTCCCCACAAAGAAGAGGAGGGCGGGAGGAGCAGCCAGGACGGATGGAGACCCATCCAGGAGGGAAGGAACCTGGGTGGCCCCAACACGGAGAAGAGACTGGACACAAGTCTGTCCAAACTATGATGTGGGGGTGTCCTGTTTGAGAACGGGGGGGCTAGACTAGACGACCTCACAGGTCCCTTCCAGCTCCGTTCTGATTGATGGATGGATGGATTGAAATGGCCTCGGGTCTCCTGCTTGAGCAGGGCCGGACTAGAAGACCTCCGAGGTCCCTTCCAGCTCTATTCGGATCGATTGAAAGGAATGATCGGCTCCTGCTTGAGCAGGGGGGTTGGACTAGATGACCTCCCAGGCCCCTTCCAGCTCTGCTCCTCTGCCGTCCTTTGGGCAGACCGCTGCCGGGGCTGAAGCACCAGCCCTCCCAACCTTGCCCCTCCCCTTCCCAAGCCTTCGCCCGTGCCAACGACGAGCGTGCCCTTCGTGTGCCCTGGTGTGTGCTGGAAACGCCGGTGCCAGCCTCTCGCCGGCGGCCCTTGCCGGCGCTTCCCTCGAGTTCCCTGGGCCTTGCTTGGAGGCAACCCTGCCCCCCTCCCCCTGTCCTTAAAAGAAGACCACACGGTGGGGGTGAGCGGCAGTGCCAGCCCCGGGGGACGAGAGCAGGCGTCGTATCATCAGGTGGCGGGCAAAGCGGGTGGTCGGAGCGCCCACCAAGGGTCGTGTTGGCCCTGCCAATCGCCATCACCGCCGGCTGGGGGGGGGGTCTGCCAAGCTGGCCTCCCTAAGGGCGGCCTTTGTTCTCCCGGTCAAGCGCCCCGTCGTCGGTCAGGGCTTTTTTTTGGAACGGCGGGCATGGAAGCCGCCAGGGGGGGTCCACGCCACACGACCATCGCCCCCAGAATTCCTCTCCCCTGGGGAACCCGGGGTGGCTTTGAAATCAGTCGCCCCTGGAAGTGGTGGGTTCTCTGGAGGCTTTGAAGAAGAGACCGGACAGCTGCCTGTCTGAAATGGCCCAACATCTCCCGCTTGAGCAGGGGGTTGGACTAGATGACCTCTGAGGTCCCTTCGCACTCTATTCTGATTGATTGAAATGGTCTAGGATTTCCTGCTTGAGCAAGGGGTGGACTAGAAGACCTCCCAGACTCCTCCCAGCTCTGTTCTGATTCCGAATTAGCCCCCTGACTCCAAACGTATCCGCTGTCTGAAAAGGGGTAAGGTTTCCTTGCCTGGGGCGGAGGGTTGGTCTAGAGGACCTCTGAGGTCCCTTCCAGCTCTATTCCCGGGCATCGATTCCAAGAGCTTTTCTTGCCACCGTCGTTAAAGGGAATCCCCGCGGTCGTGAAGTTAGCCACACGGCTGTTAAAGTGGCTCCCCACCCTCCGCTTGTCAAGACGGTCGCAAAAGTGGAACACGGGGTATTGCCACCCTCGTAAATACGAGCCGTTCGCCAAGCGTCTGAATGCCGATCACATAGAGGGTGCTGAAACGGTGGTTAAAGTCTGGGAAATGGGCCCAGGTTGCCTTTTTTTTTTTTTTTGCAGCGCCGTCGTAACTTGGAACAGACACTAAACGAACTGCTCCACGATGAAAATCCCACCCTACCAGTTGCGGCTGCCCTCCCAGCCGCAAACACCGGGGTCTTCCAACTGGGTTTGGCGGTTAGGTTTGAGTAAGGACTGTCCCTTCCTCCAGAGTTGCGTGCTGGTGGTAGCTCCTCCGGGCTCATCTGTGGCACCTTACAAAAGGATGTCGCGAACCTGTTTAATCTAAGCTTGCTGGTGACTGTGGTTTGTTGATATTCATTAACATTAATTACCTGGTTTGTTTGTTTTTTTCTTTCTTTCCTGCGAACCCTTTCAGGAAGGTAGATAAAGATGAGAGGACGGAAATGTCTTCGAATACCACGGTGGCACCAATAAAAATTAGAATAGAAATAGAAATAAATAAGAACGGGAAAACAATAGGCATATTCTAATATAAGAAGATATTTCATTAAAAGAGGTTTAGAAATTGAATGGCGGCAGCGTTAGATATGTTTAAACAATATGAAAGAATGAAAATGGAATGTAATAACTATAATAATATGTTTATTTGTACTAAAATATATGACACCCAGGTATCAATAGGTATAAGCAATATAAAATAAAATAAAATAAACTTGACCCCAAAAAAGGAGAGAAGGAAGGTAGATAAAGGCCTGGAACGAAAAGAGGAGAAAGGATGGAACAGCCGGCAATTCTTGGAGAAATTCGGTTTGGGAACACTGCTAGCCGAAAATAAACTCTTTAATTCCTAGGCTTTGTAAAGCCTTAGTAAGGCCACACCTGGATGGTGCTGCATCCGGTTTTGGTGCCCATGTCACACACACACACACACACACACACACACACACAAAAGATGTTGAGAGTTTGGAAAAAGCGCAGAGAAGAAGAACAATTAAGAGGATTAAAAAGAAACATACGGAGAATGGTTGTAGGAATTGGGGTTTGGCTAGTCTGGAGGACAGAAGGATTAAGGGGTGACAGGATAGCAGCCTTCCAGGATTTGAGGGGCTGCCCCAAAGAAGAGGGAGGGGTCCACTTATTCTCCAAAGCCCCTGAAGGCCGGACAAGGCATAATGGATGGAAACTAACCGAGGAGATAAGCAACTTTGGAATTGAGGAGAAATTTTCTGACAGCGAGGACAATTAACCAGTGGAACTGCTTGCCACCCAGAAATTGTGGGTTCTCAAAACACTGGAGGCTTTTAAGAAGGGATTGCGGACAGCCGCCTGTCTGAAAATGGTCTAGGCTTTGCTGCTTGAGCAGAGGGTTGGACTAGATGGCCTCCGAGGTCCCTTCCAGCTCTGTTCTGATCGATTGAAGTGGTCTAGGGTCTCCTATTTGAGCAGGGAGCTGGACCAGGGTCCATTCCAGATCTAGTCTGATTGATTGATGATTGATTGATTGATTGGTAGGTCTAGGGGTCTTCTGTTTCAGCAGGGGGCTGGACTAGAAGACCTCTGGAAGGTCCCTTCCGGTTCTGATTAGCCCCTGATTCCAAAGGTTTCCGCTATTCTCTGGCTTCCTCCGAAACCAGGACGGGGTTTTTTCCTTTGAACGCTTCCGATGAAAATGTGAGCTTAAAGAAGGCTGAGGACCCAGAATTTTTGTCTAATCCATAAATGGATTATTTTTTTGGCGGGGGGGGGGGGGTTTCGAACAAATTAAGTTGCCCCCCCCAAAGGACAGTGTGTGTGTGTGTGTGTGTGTACCAACAAAGGAAGAATACCCTGTTTCTCTGAAAATAAGAACCCGCTGAAAAATAACGATCTTGCTGGATGCTCATAATATAAGCCCTACCCCCCCCCCCAAAAAAATAAGCCCCAGTTAAGCTTATCAGCCAGGCGGACACATTTAGTACCGTATTTCCCTGAGAATGAGA